TTTTCTTCACTTCTCCTGGGGGTGGGGGCAGTCAGGGGAGCTGTATTTTATGTCATCAACCAAAACAAAAAAGCAAATGTGATGTCTTGTTCCTTCACAAATAACCCTGTCTGTCAAAGATCTTTTCCAAGCCCATATAAATGTAATGCTGTGGTTCTATATTAATATTATATTTTCTATGAAGGCATTTTACTTTTATTTTCAAGCTAAGAGGATAGCCTCTCCTCCTCTTCAGGAGGAGAAAGTGTGATTACTGTGTAAAAATATCTGTATATACCTCTGTTATGGCCAACAGGACGGTTTTATTCATGTGAGTTTGTCTTTGACTTATAGGTCAACATACTACTGTTTGATTAGTGGTAAAAAGTAACTTTAATCGTCTTTGATTTTAGGTCTCCAGTGAATTTACACAGCAAGATTCTTGCAGAGTTTTGTAAGCTTACTATGTATATGTACTATTAAGGTATTAATACTGTGAGATTTTCACTCAAAATGCATCACTTGCACCTGTTACTGGGGTTTATTGTGCTTATTTCTTTCTTTTACAGCTATAAAAATAGAGAACAGCTTTCTGAGGTCGGGGGGCAAAATATGAATAAACCAATATAAGTGAGATATTTCTTTCATCATCAAAACCAAAAAAGCAATTTTTAGTTCTGTTACCAGATTGCCCTGTACCTGGATGTGAAGCTGAGAGTTGTACAAGCAACAACATATTTTGATTTAAATAAAATTCTGAAGTTGATTTTTCAAGGAAAAAACTCTTATCCCTTCACCATGTGCCCCCATTAAAAAAAAGGAGGGTGGTATGGGGGGTAACTACATGTTTATTCCACTATGAGAAGTACACCATAAGAAATTCTTTCAAAAGACCTACCAAACCTGGAACATATTTAATTACTATTTTAGTTATTCCTCCGTGTCAGTGACCTACCTGATGTTGATGAGCAGCTACTACTGGTTCATCTGGTTTTGAGCGAGGATTTTTGTTGATGGTAGTGTTTTTTTTTAATTACTGGTAGTTTCCCCGTCCTCTCTGCCATGCACACACACACACACTCTTTTGAGACTTCCCCAGAATTCTAGTGAAGAGGAGATGGAGCTGCTGCATTACCTGAAATGTGTCAAAAATGGATTTCTTTGAGATACTGTCATACAACCTTGTACCAGTGCCACAGCTGGGAAGCTTTTTGCGCAATTTACAGAATATGGTTTATAGATGGAAAAGTTGACATACTTGATAATTTGAAAATCACAGCTTGTCAAAAATGATGAGTGCTTCAATAACTTTCCTTTAATTATCATCTCATTTATCAGTCCTACAATATTCCAATTCCTGCAAGGTTACTTGACTACATATCTCCTTACAAATGACTGCTTAAGTCGTCATGATCTGCTAAGTGAGCTATCATAGTATCTGGGTAATAAGTAATTTGGACAGTCAATGTTCTATTTATGTAAGGACAGTGAGAGGATGATGAAGGTTGTAGTTGGTTCTTTTGCCAGTTGAGGCTGGTTACTTTTCCTTTACCACAACATTACTGTTACTGCATTTTGGAATACGTAAAGAGCTTCACTGAGAAGAAATTTACCTGCTTGAGAGAGAGACACCCTTCTCTGGGCTCCTTGTCCTCAGGACAGGGCCATGCCCAGAACCCCATAAAACAGCGTGGGTGTGCAAGTGGGCAATTTTTGGTCCTGAATCCAAGTTGTTCCCAGGTGTTTGCTAGGCTTTGTGCAGGTGGCCCCTGTGTGTGCATCTCTGTCCTATAGACAGAAGCCTTGGCACTAGTATGGCTGTTTCCTTGTATTACTTAATTTCTAGGTTTCTTTCTTTGCTGTGATTTAAAGATCAAAGCCGAAATTTCCTTAAGTGGTATATTCTTTATTGCAGCGCTGGATGCACAGGGGATCCTTCCGCCTATCGTGCATGTCCGAAGTGACAAAATATCTCATATTTATACAGCAAAACAATGAATATTCAATTAGCATGCACACATATTCATCACCTAACCCCGCCTACCCTCGCTTCGTATGCTAATTAGCTTATCAGTCCTTGCGCTTGCGCAAAGCCTTCCAAGAATTGTGGGCCGGGGTCTTCAGGATGTGGGCAGTGGTCGTTGGGAGGAAGGCCGTAGGTCTTCCTCGTAATGCACTTTTCACCTTTGCTTAATCAGTTGTTTTCCAAGCTGTAAAAATGCTGAGTTGGCTTTCAATTTAACTGAGGGTTGGCAGATAACAGGAAGTCTCAGTTAACAAGACAAGACAATTGACTCAAGTTATCTCAAGTCTCAGCCTGACTAACGGTTAACAGATACTGGGATGTTTTCAAATAACAAGATGCTTAAACATAACAAAAGGTCTACAGATAACAAGATGTCGTTTACTTTGTCCTTGCTAACTTTTAACCACAAGTTTTATTCTAAAGTGAGTTTATACTATATCAGCTGTAAGGTATCTGACCATGTTGTAATTTTTTATCTTGATTTCTTGGTCTCTTCATGTTGGTAGAAGGACCTTGGAGAGGCTCTTGAGGGACAGAGGTCACTGGGAGAGTGAGACCAGGTACAGATGTCTTACAGGAACAGCAGTTTAACCTGTGAGAGAACTGCCTTAGTCCCTATTTTGCTAAAAATGCTTAATCGCAAACAGAACTTTGTCCTAAGGGAACAACAACTTTGAGTCCTTTCAGAAGTGCATGGTTTGTCTTTTTCTGTTCTGTTACTTTCTTAAGTACTCAGTTTGCAAACAAATTGTATTCTTTTATATCTATTAACTCAGCCCAGTATTACAGAGGCAAAATGCTTTATAACACTTGCGTTCCTAGATTTACTGGGAGTAAATGTTCCTAAGGCTCTCACTGACAATTGTTTGAGCCCACTGCTTTCAGACTGTGCCCTTATACTTTTAAGGGCAGTCATATTATTTTGCACAAGTGCAGCTATGACAGATGGTTTGGTCTTTAGGCTCTGCAGCCAGCTGCAGTTCCCATGAAGTCCGGAGTATCAGCATTTACTGAGTATATCCAGAAAATCAGGCTTCTGGTAAGCGAGTCAGTTAATTATGTGCAAGGACTATGATCCAGTTCACTCAATTTTGGTTATGTGCTGTGGGGTTGATAGGAAAAGGAACTGTAAACATCTATTTGTGTTGGGAGAGCAAGCAGATAGGACTTTTGAGTAAACAAAACAGTCCAGTACAGATACCACTGCCATCATTAATCCTTTCTAGAAGACAACTTTGCACATATTCATAAAGTGAAAATACCAGTTTTTAAGTGACATCAGGAATTTCAAATACAGAGGTATTTTTGTGGCTCAGAAAAAGAACCCAACTGTCAGATCAGACTAGTTACATGTTAGAGAATTACTGAGTATACATATGAGGGAGGGTTCACTTAATCTAACATTTAACTAAATTTAAAATTTCCATAAAAAACGGTATTTGAAGAGTATTTTAAGTTATTGTACAGGGCACTTTTTGCAATATACTATAACTAAGACTGTAGCCTGTGTAATTCAAGATATATAGCTTTATTTAAAACATGATTTTAATAGGTATAGTTATTGCTGAGTGATACTTCCTGATCTTGTATACTGTTTTTGTGGGGTGGCAGGGCAGGGAAGAGTAATATTGAGTATACAATATTGAGGTCCTCATTTAGTTGTCTGATCTCTTCAGTTTCTTAATGTTTCTTTTACCTTGATTCAGAAGTATCCATTCATGAACATTGAATATACTAAGTAATCTCATAAGCCATTGCCCTGTGGTCTGTGTTTTCCCACACAGAAAGACAAGGAAAAATCTTCTCTCCAGCTTCATCTTACTTAAAAGCCGATTGTGATGGCTGTCCCTTTTTATGAACTCTGAGAGTCTGAAAACACAGTGATGCTTGCTGATCCTTAAGAACAAAGGACTGAGGTGGCCTAGGGAACATTGGCTTGCCTAAAGTTGATGAAATACATGTACAGCCGCTCTTGTCCTCCTCAGGGAGCCCGCTTCAGCAGCACATAGAAATGATGCTCTACTCTGGAAAGCTTTGGTGTGCAACTTCCTCTGCAGCTGTTTGGTAAATAACAGAGGTAACAGAGCAGCTGCTTTCAGCAGATGCCTGACAAACAGTTAGTCAACCCCCTCCTTCCAGAAAACCTTCTGTCACCCCAAAATCCAAGTCTCTAAATGCTATTCCAAAAGCTGTGTCAACACAGCATATGCTACCCAAGGCTAGAGCAAGCAGTTGGGTAAGCTTTCACAATGTAGTACTGCATCAGCCATGCAGATTCTGTTTGTCCAATTGTGGTGGTGTAAGTGCAAATACCACTAGTGTCATGTGAACCATAACAATGGCTTTGAATCAACTTCACATCTTGATAAAATATTTTGTTTGAATTTCCTGTCAGAAGTACTCAAATTTAAATTATAATTTACTTCATAAACTGCAAATACAATTTGTTTCTTTACTTATTGAGCAGCAGTTAGATAGAGACTATATAGATATTTATTTGCACTTTTTAAATTGCTGAAATGATTTATTCTTGTGCAATGTTCATGGCATTACATCTTTATTGCTTTATATTGCACATGTTGGGTTTTAATAGTTGCATCCTTCATTCCATTAATTTGAAATTAAACATTAAATTGCAATGAAAGTTCAGTCGTAGATCCTAAAGCATAAAAAATAAGCTTTGGTCTTTACTTTCCAAAATGAAACTGGGGATGGAATACAGATTTAGTAGAAAGATGATCTATTCTCTCAGCAAGATTTTTCTTTTTTTTTCTTTTTTTTTTTTTTATGTTAAAGATTTTTCAAAAAATCACCTGTAACTGTGAGAACTGTGTTAATTTCTAGTTCCACAAAATGTATTCTACCTTGTATCAAAAAACAGATACAGAAACATTGGGGGTTCCCATTGTAAAATATTTAAAGAGTTGTCTCTGCAAAGTTACTTCTATACTTGAATTCGTACTTCTCAAAACTTCCAGAAAAGCCTTAACTCTTAGAGATGCAAATTATGCCAAAGCAACAAAGATTGTAAGTGATTTAAAGAAACCAATAATAAATCAAAGAATGTTTTGATGTAGAGATGAAACTGATGTGTATCTGCAGCATGAATTGTTCCATTAGGATCCTTCAGTTGAATTCAGCCCGTTTTCAGTCATTCCTGAGTGTGTGCATGGGAGCTTCAGTTTGCTGTGAACAGCTTATTTGGACACTGATTTGAGGCAGAGGGTGAAGAAATGACTCCTGTTTTGTTCCCAGATAATGAGGTGTTTACAAGGTCATGTATACTTTGAGTGCAAGAAATCTAGTGATAGTCATTACTGTTTTTGTCTGCGTATTTGGAATTATGGTGTTGAATTTTTTGGAGGAGTGCCCTGGCTCCTCATACCTGCCTCTCCACTGACTGGCATGGTTGAGTCCACTGCTTATGTTATGTCCCAGTCTGTTCAGTGCTCCTGGTACAAAATCTCAGATTAAAGCTGAGTGATGTCTCTGAGTACAAATAAGCAGAAAAATGAACTGATCACCCACTGTGTGCTTTGAATTAGCCAACTGTACCCCCAAATAATACATTTTAAATCATATGTAATAATAATTTTAATTGATGCAACATTTCCCAAGCTTCTTTATCTCAGAAATTGTCTGCCTTGATATAGGGCCCAAGGGAAAATGCTTTAATTAAAAAATAAGCTTTTCTATCAGTCCACTGAGTCCTCAATAGACTAAACAGCTGATTTTCTAATCCAAGTGTAACATGTTGCTGTTAGTTTTCGTATTTGTCTCTGTATATCTCACAAGGGAGCTGAAGCTAGCAGGTCATGTTGGTGCATATATCCTGCTGAGGAAATATTTTTGTTGTGTTTTCCTATCATGCTGTAGGAATTCTGTAAGCAGTACAAATTTAATAGCCAACATTGCTAATTCTAGGTCTTTATTTAATTTTAAATTCTAGTTGCATTATACATGTGCATCATTTGCTACTTTGCTAGTAGTGTAATAACCTTTTTAATCTCATGTGTGAAGTCTTCTACATCTCTGTTATAAAAATAGGTCCATCCTTTTCAAAGGATGCATACAGTAAAACGGGTCAGTGCCTCACTGTGCCAGTTGTCTCCTGTTTTTCTCAACGTAGACCTCAGTAATCTAGAGGTGAAATAGTTTTGTGATCCATCTTTCAGACACAGATGTGGAATTAGGGCAGAGGTAGCACTGGGGCTTCTGTGTTTACTGAAAGATGGCAGTCTGAAGCAAAGTGATGTTTCCACTGTGGCAGACTTCTGGTATGGAAACAGGAAATGTGTAATCACAGTTGCAAACACTGTTGCTGAAAGTGAACACAAATCAAATAATTCAGGTAGCTTGTGTGAAGATGAAAATGACCAGCACACGTATATATGACTGGCATTGACACACATGAAAAAGTAGTTCAGAAAATGACCCAACTGGGAACTGAGAATTACACTTCCATTCACTCCTGTACGATAAAGTTCCTTTTATTTAATGTGCTTTTTGCAGGTTTAACTGTATGGTTGCAGGATTATTTTTCATATAATACATTTTAATGTGGTATTTTAAAAGGTGGCAAGGCAAATATTTTTCAGTAATGATTGTGTAACTGTTAAAGAGACCATGCTCTGCCTTACAGCATTCTAACTAAACTGGACAGCTGTTTGTGTGTTGAATGTCTGTGTGATACTTGAATGCACTGCTGAATCCACGGGATACTTGCAAGCATAAAACATCTGCTTAACAAAAAGCTTTTCATTTACAGGTGGGAATGGAACTCCACATATTGCCTGCAGTAGTACACTTTTTGGCATTGCTTTGGTATTGCTTTCTTCCTCTGTTCAAGCAGATTTCAAAAAGAAAAGAAATATTTGATGTTGCTTGTAATAGAATGCTAATTTGATATGTGTTGAATGGTGGCAGGAATGAATAACAATGTGTTATGTTTCTATGCTTTAGAGTAGAAGATGTTGGAGAACTGTATAATCATAAGTTAATTAAGCACATCTTTATTTGTAAGAACCTTTATCTCCTTGTTATGTTTTCTGACCCAGCTGACTGTTTATTGCAGGTTTCACATAGGCATTTATCAATTCTCCATCATTTAAGCTGGAGATCAAGGATCTCTTGTGCAGATTTAAGTGTACAACTTGATATGTTATGCCTCTAAGCAGTGGTGGTCTGATTTCCTGCAGAGCATTATGGTTGGTTGTCTTGATATAGTCAGAGCAGGTCCATAAAAATTACACTTTTTAAACAAGCGTCTTTGAACAAACGTGTATAGTAGGTTTTCCAGGTGCTTTGTTGCTGAGTGCCTTCCTGGCTCGAGTGAGTTCCCTGGGAAGGTTATCATGGAGGCAGAAAGAAACTCAGATATGGCTGTGATTATATGCTACCTGCAGAACTGTCTTTTTATCTTGAGGGATTGGTCCGTGCATCAGCAGAATGAGACTGGTTCGTTAGGAGTGGGTTTATGGCAACGATGAATCACCTGAAGTACAAGTGCAGTTTCCTCCATTTTCCAATCTGAAATCCATAGGAATAGAATAGGAAGAGTAGCAGTGGATTTATGTTCTTGCTTTGTGGAGCTTGCTGCCTGTAAAACTAGATAGGAAGAAGTAATATTTTTTGTATTTTATTAGGATATCAGCACCTCCTTCTGCTTATGATTTCAGTATAGCTTCTTGGATTTTAGTATTTCAGTATTCATTTAATAGGATTGACTTCAATGAGCTGGAAAAGCATGTTACAGTAGTTACTGCCTTAATAATGCATTTTTCTATCCTTAAAGATACGTTACATCTCTATTATTTTTCACTATTTCCCCATTCTTCCCTCAGAATCCAACCTTTTGTGTTCCATAATTATTTAAACAGTAGCTACAGCTTATCATAGAAAAACTTGTCAAAGCAGTAAACCCTGCCAGTGGCACTGAGACACTCAAAAGGTCGGCAGCTGTGCACTGCAGGAGGTATTCGCAGGATTCCAGCAGAGAAACTTGTATATCGTTGTTATCCTGGGAGGCTGGGTTAAAAACAAAAACAACAACAAAAAGGAAACAGAAACCCCTAACCAAACTTACTGGAAAAACAAAACAACACAACAACAACAAAACATCAACTGCATCTACTGTATCCATGTTGCATTTCTGAGAAAACAGACATTGAATTGAAAAGTGGTCCCAAGTGCATTGCTTATTTGCAGATCTCCTTCCAACTGCCGACACAGATCTGTGATGCTCAGTGCTCAAAGAACATTGGATGTACATCTCTATGTGGAGAGAGCACATGTAAAAGGTTAAAAAATAAAATTTGATTCAGATTAATAGTACTTTAATTTTATTGAGAAAAGTTAAAATACCATAGAACAGAACAGTTTGGTTGGAAGGGGCTCTCCAGCCACCTGCCTGACCACCGCAGGGCTCCCCAGAAGCTGACGCCTGTCAGTGCGGCACCGTCCCAGCACTTCTCCAACACCGACAGGCCCGGGGCACCAAGCACCTCTCTGGGAAGCCTGTCCCGGTGTCTGGTCACCCTCATGGTGAAGGGATTTCCCCCAGTGTCCAGCCCAGCCTCCCCGGGGCAGTTCTGGGCCATCCTCTGGGCCTGCCTCTGCCTCCCCTCCTCAGGGAGCTGAGGGAGCAGCGAGGCCGCCCCTCGGCCTCCTCACCTACAGCCGGGAGCCTGGGGGCCTCAGCCTCTCCTCACAGGACATGTCCTCCTGCCCTCCTGCCAGCTCTGCTGCCCTCCTCTGGATGCTCTTGAGAGCCTTGACATCCTTTTGATGTTGTGGAGCCCAGAACTGCCCACAAGGTTCGTGGTGAGGCCGCACTGACCCTAAATATAGCAGGAAAATCACCTCTGGTGCCCAGCCAGCTGTGCTGTGTTTAGTACCCACCAAAAAGCACTATGGCATATTGGCTACCAGGGCACGCTGCTGGCTCATGTTAAGCCTGCGGTAAGCAACACCTCCAAATCCCTTTCTGCAGAGCTGCTGTCCCCTAGCTGCACATCTCCCGCTCTGTATTTGTGTCTGCCATTACTCCATCCCACTTGCAGAACCAGGCATTTCCCTTTGTTGAACTTCATGCTGTTGATGATTGTCCAATGAAGTCATTTTAAATCTTTAGTTATAGCTATATCAATAGCTATAGCTATATCAATATATATATATTGATATATATCAATATAAAATGATATATTACTGGTGGTTTTCAAATACCTCTATTACAATATGTTGGTGCCATGTAGCTAAATCAAGTTTTTGAAGGACACACGTGTGGAAAAGGCAGTTACCGTTGTTTGTACACAAGTCTTCAGAGTTTGCAGTGATGTTTTGGTCATGGATACCAACTGCCTATTCCTGTCTCTGGTCTTTGAAACTTGAGGTATGTCTCTTCTAACAGTATTCGCCTCTTCTAAATTGCGAGAGGATTTGTGTGTGATATATGAGTTTGAGTCTTAGGCACTTGGGGATTTTTCAGGGAGACCGTGCTTAATTTAAGATGTATAAAACCACATCCCTAATTCTAAATAAATGATCAGCTATGCTGATTTGTGCATCTGAGGAAATTACACGTAGAAATATAATAAAAGTCTAGAGAGTAATAACATCAGAACAGGATATGAATATTAATGAGTCATTTTGTCAGCAGTGAACTAATGGAGCCTGGTTTGCTTCAGCTTTGTGCCTCATTTTTGATTTATTGCTATCAAAAAGGTACAAAATAGAACTGAAGCTTTTTTGTTGTTGTTGGCCTTTTATAAGGTCTTGCTGTGGGCTGTTTGCTGTCTACTGAGATGTGACTTCTTTGTCACCCTTACACTACTTCTGTATTATCTCTGTATTGTGCAGCTGCATAATTTTATAGTGGTTATGGGAAACTTATCTTGCGGGAAACTCATCTTTTTAAAATTTAGTTGAAATTAGCAAATGGTTTGGAAGTTAATGGGGGGAACAAATATGCGTGTGTACACTCACATACAGACATACCCTGAATACAGTTATGTACAGTCTACTCCATAAGCAATCAAAAGGCCACTAGAGAGGGTAGAACATGCAAAGAACTGTGGTTGGAGTTAATGAAACATAAACACATTTTGTAATTACGATTCACATACAACTGTTGCTTTTTAAAGACTAATGGTCAAAATGATCAAATATCAGGGATCCCAGCTTTTGATGGCAAGTCTTTTGCATTCTTGGTGTAATGAAAGCTAAAGAAAAAGCAAAGATTGCTGTGAAAGGCAAAGTAATTTGCAATTTTTTTCCTAACTTCTGAAATTGAGCTCAAATCAATAATTTTGTGTAGTTGTTAAAGGAGTAACATCTTCTCTTTTTTTTTTTTTATTATTTGAAAGCATAAGGAGTTTTGTTTTTCGTATAAAAGGCAGTAATTCATAATACAATTTTTTGATTAAGGCTTATAATTATTAGATCTGTTACGTGAATGTTGCTGAATAGGAAACATTGTCATTAAGAATTTCTAAATGCTGCAAGAATTTGTTGGTTATATTTCAGTAATGATAAACCGCCAATAGCTTTTTCAGCCTAGTGTAATTGTTACAGAAGAAATGATTATATGATTAATATTTATTTGGTAATAACCTATGAATCTCTAGCAGAGCTCTCAAAATCATATAGGCTTCAAAATTTATAGTGATTGGCTATTAATAGTCCAAATGATATGAAGAAAAAAATACTATGTCCAGAATTGAATTAAAATGTTCATTGAAATAAAGCAACTCCTGGTAAAGTTAAACCCTGCAACCAGGAGATTTTATAGGAAACTAACAGAAAACGTTCAGGACGTAACTCTTGGCACTGGGAGAAGAAATACTTTCTCTTTACCCTGGAGATAACTGCTATAGGATTTCATGAATGTGGTATCATCAACTTATACCTGTTTATCAACTCACTGCCACCACTGCTTGGATCAACAAATCCAATATGCACCTATTCCCAAACCTATTCAAATGAAATTAATATTAATATTTTTCCTGCATTGTCTGTTGTGAGGAAGATACTGTCTCTGTGTGCACTCTAATTCACAACAAAGAAGGCAGGTGGGGAAGGCAGCTTAAATAATGAGCTTGAATAAGACAGATCATGTGTCCTTATCCTTGAATGAGATACTTAACAGTAGGTATCTAAGAACCCAGTAAATAACACAAGCTTGGTACATTTCTTACAGGCATCAAGGTAGGAATGAGGTTAGCTCAGCTGGATTTAAAAATAAAACCCTGTGGCTCCATTTTATAATGAAAAATAGTATTTGTTTTATTTTAAAGAGAATATTTATAATGCCTAGCAGTGGTTCCATATATCTGTGTGCATTAGTCTCATAGGGTAAAGATAGACTTCATTTATTTTCTTTGTTACAGCTGATACAATTCTGTTGTTTCCATTTTCAATAGTCATTTCATTAGCCCACCTTTTTAGAATCATTGCTTTTACTATACATTTTCAGTCTTCACCAACATTAACTCATTTATTTAGAAATGGTAGTAGAACCCTTGTTCTGAAAATTCTTACCTCACTTTTAAAGTCATGTGCTATTATTTTCACATCAGTAGGTTGCTGTAACCAAAATCTCCAAGTATAAGATTTTTTTTTCGTAGTGTGCTTACAAATATTTCTGTGTATCCATGCAGCTGTCATTATTTTGTCTTTGGCAAATGTGAGCATAAAAGACAAAATTAGAGTTATATATAAAGTTGGAGTATCTAGCATAGATAGGAATGGGATACAGAGACTTCCAAAATATTTGCTGAGAGCTAATTAGGGTCCTGCTCCTCTGATTGCTTTGTATCAGCCCTCTATGCTTGGAAAGGAAAAAAATGATAAACATTTAGACTAAGGGTGAGATCACTTTTTTTTTTTTTTTTTTTTTTTTTTTTTTTTTGGTCTGCCTGGAGCTATTTCTGGCTTTAAGAACAGTAGGCTTGGGTGTCTGCAAATGCTGTACTGTTTACAATCCAGCAGTGGATCAATAAAATAATAAACACAAAACACTTAAGTGAGGACTTCTGTCGATGGATTGTGCGTCTGTGGAAAACTGTTATTAAGAAATTATAAAAGCTGCTATTACAGAACACAACAAATAAAAATTTTCTGTTAAACTTCACATACACTGTTATTTTTGTATTAAAATAAAACTGAAATCTTACTGTATCATTTTAGATGAATGTTACAGTTTGAAGTTGCATGGAAATTCGTTTTTTTATTTTTTTTAGAGATGTGTGACAAAGTGACCAGTGCACATGATAAAAACTATACAAACTGCTCCACTTCAGCCTCCTCTTAGTGCTTTGTTTCCTATGAAACAGTTCATAACTATCATGAAGCTTCCTTTTATGGAGATGCAAACTCAGTCTTTTTCAGAGTCTGATTCTCAGGATAAAATTCATTCTTTTCTCTATAGCTCAAATATTTGGGCTCATTGAGGATGAGCTAAAAAGAGCTTGGAACAGAGCACATCCTTCATCTACCTTGACGTACCGCACAAACCTTTCATGCCATTTGAGTGAGAGGCTGGAGCAAGCAAATGTTCAAGTAAATATTTGATGTGTTTTCCCAGTGCCTCGTAATTAGTAAAACAACTGCGTGCTGATCCTGTAAAGACAGTCACAGGATTGATTACAAGTATTAAGTGGGGGATTCATTTGCCTAAATGTCAGTGTATAGAGCTGAGCACAGCTTCAGCTCCCATCATAATCAAGGGAAACCTGTGCGGAAGTATTGAGGGAATATACTTAAGGCCTGTATTCATACTTCAGATATGCCTAATTCCCACCCCCAACCTCTGTGCCCAAAAAACACAGGCTCACACATATCTGTCCCATTTTTTTCATTCTCAGGTGTAATGGGAATTATGAACTCCAGCAATTTTATAACATAACTGGACAGCCTCTTCTCCAAAAACAAACAAAAAATGTTCTAATACAAAAAGAGAGAAAGGAGTTAGTCTTGCATTAGAGGTCACAGACTCAGGTTTTATTCAGAATTTGGCAGTTGACTCAGATATGATTGGCAATGAGATTTCCAAAAGGCTGCAACTGTAAATTGGAAATAAATGGAAAAGAATTACATGAGTGGGAGACAGCTTTGAATCTGTAATGCATGTCCTGAGACTGACTTGCTCATAAAAGAGCATGTGTTTAATGTGTCATAAAAATATTTTAGCCACATTGGTCTTTGTAGAAATGCTTCATTTTTAAAGTAGGATTTTGAGTGGCTAAAAATGAATTCAGCATGTATACCCTTGCCATCAGTATGAAGGGTGAAAAAATAAAAGCATCACCAGAAATTGTATATTTTTTTTCCTTTGAGATATTTTATCATTTTTTTTATGTTGTCTTTTGTGTCCAGATCAGTTTTTTAGTCCTTGCTATATCATCTGTTTGGTTACATAGTATTCCTCTGAGAGAAGCTATGGATCTATTATGTTAGAAGGTAGTTTGGAGGCAGAGTGAGTTGCTGACAAAAAGGCATTCATGTATGGGTATGTGAATGTGGGTGGGTGACTGCAGTGTCCAAAAGGGACACTTGTCTGTGTTCTTTTTACTACTTCTGTTTCAAAGATGATATATGTGTGTAAATAAAGCAAGATGTATTTTGAACGTGCCTGTGTTCTGCATCATTAATTTTTTCACTGTTGGGAGCTAAACTGCAAGAATCTGAACATCTGCTACCACCTGCCAGTTCAAGTGTCTCAAGGAAGGAGTGACAGCAGTTAGAAAATACCACCTCTAAAATACTCTGTTTTTCTTTCTGCTATTTTCTTTTAAGTAAATACAGTCTTCTTAATATAGCTAAAAAATTAGCTTTGTGCCATATCTAGGGAATGGTCTGTAGGGCTTTAAGAAACGATTTTGAAATGACAGGGGAAGAGGAAAGGACATGACCAGAGCTGCACTCATCACGTAACAGTCCACAAGTACGTGGCCACCATCCCTTTTAGATACATTATAAACTGATACCTGAGTCTATACTACCCCGTCAGTGCATGAAATACAAATGAATGCTAATATCTCCAGTGTCACTCTAATACATAAGATTATCATTGTTGTGATTGTTTTATATTATTTTTATATTTATGTTACAATACTTGAATATATCTGTTATCTTATTTATCTTATTTCTCACAGGTGAGATCTGTGCTTTTAAAATCCATGGACAAGAAATGCCCTTTGAGGCTGTTGTGCTAAACAAGACATCTGGAGAAGGTCGTCTTCGAGCAAAAAGTCCTATTGACTGTGAACTGCAGAAGGAATACACATTCATCATACAGGCGTATGACTGTGGATCAGGACCAAGTGGAACAAACTGGAAGAAATCTCACAAGTGGGTGAAAATGACTTGTTTTTTGTTTGTTAGTTATGCATTCGCTCTGCAGTACAGATCAGATTAAAGGGCCCTTTCAATTTGTATTGTAGTCAGGTAGAAAGAAAGCAAACCAAAATGATTCATCATTGCAATAGTTCATACACTTCTTTTTTCCTATTTCCTTTTAGAAAATATTCTTCTTTTTTGCCTCTTGCAGTTTGACCCATTCTGCATTGGTTCCAGCTGAACTTTTTAATAGGATCGCTGTTCAAGTCGAGAAGTTTTTGTATATTTTTCCATTCTTGCTTTCACATTAAATACGTTGACCAAACAGATCAGTCAGGACATGGAAGCTAGGTTTTAATTGATACTTATAAATTTTAAATAGGTTTTCTCTCAGTTTATCTCATTTCAAATGGTAGGAAAAGGGAAAATTGCCCATTGTTTAGTATGTGTATTAGCTACAGCAGTGTTGCCTTTGCACAGTGTGTTTCTAACCTTGGCTTTTGAACAGCAAGTCCCAGAGGAATACAAATCCCCTGGAAGAGAGAGTATTAAAGGTTAATAGGTGGCACTTTTTACTGTGGAGCCAATTTGTTTCATAACCTTAAGTAAGACAGTACCCTTTTCCCCTTTCAATTCATGAAACCAAGCTCTAGACCATTTGTCATTAAAGATTAAAATAAATCACGTATAGATGCATAACTGTTATACAGATTGTTCATTTTGCTAAGAGCCACTTAAATAAATGATTAGTAGTAATAGTTCTTCCTTTTGTTCATCCAGGATACATGACAATTAAAAAAACTAATCAGTTTTATTATGCATTCCAAACTCTTTTATGGTATTTTAAGAGTACACATCTAGAAGGAAGTCTACAAAATCAAATAAACATCAAGTCTCAGAAACAGTTTCTCTTTCATGTTGTTAAATGTTATTGTGTTTTTCCCTCATGTCAGTAACAAGCTAGAAAGAGTTAGACTTGGAATATTTTAGTCTAATGATGGCCAAAATGAAATCTGTCCCACTGGGACCAGCCATTTGTATATTTTCTCTGGTTTGTGTAGTAAACCACACGTTAAGCTATGCTGTTTGAGTCCCAGTATTTATTCCTGGCTTTGCCATTGATCTAGAATGTCCCTTCATTTCTCTGTCCCTCTTCTATTCTTCCTATCCAACCAGGCATTAGTCTCATTCAATAGAAAGCCTTTAGAGTTTGTACATTAATGCAGAAGATCTCTTATTTTTGACCCTCAAAAGTTTACCACAATGCACATATTGATAATGTGGCATGGTTATTATCTTAATGAGAGATGCCAACAGCAAGGATCCAATCCTTAGATTTGTTTGTAAATGAGGGTCTTGGGATTTACCAGAGAAGCTCAGGCCTACATCAGTGCATGGGTCATGGTGCATAATTTGCCTCTTTAAAAGCCATGAAACATTTCAGTTATGAATACTGACACTACTCTTGCCTTTAGAAGGCAAATTGCAAATATTGTAGCTAATTAAGGCGTTAGGTAATTATAAGTAGCAGAAGGTGAAAGGCTTATTTAATAATGAAGTGTTCACAAACTGACCATTTTTAATGAATTTTTAATAGTACTGTAATCCACTTCTTTTTCCACTTTCTAGCGCATTTTATCTAGTGCCAGTTAAGATATTAAATTGGGTAAATTAAACAGAAAATCAAAAATACATCATTTTAGCAAATGTTGACATGGGTTTCTAGATATTTTTTGTTAGTCTTATCAATTGTTATGAAAACAAAGTGTTAATAACATGTTCTTACTTAAAGTCATGCTAATCTGATTTTTCTCTTTGATTATTTACCTATTCTAGGGCAGTGGTCCATATCCAGGTAAAGGATGTCAATGAGTTTTCACCAGCTTTCAAGGAGAGTGTGTATAAGGCCACTGTGACGGAAGGAAAGATCTATGATAGCATACTGCAGGTAGAAGCTATGGACGAGGACTGTTCTCCACAGTATAGCCAGATCTGCAATTATGAAATTGTCACGACAGATGTTCCTTTTGCCATTGACAGAAATGGTGAGTATGGAGAAATATCCAATTGTAAGTTCTGGGACAGGTAACAGTAATTTCTGTAAATAGTATAATCAGCATTTGATACCAGCTGATAATCTGGCTCTTTGAATTCTAACTCAAGAAAATAGACCTGTTCTCATCTTTGAGAATGAAGGAACTGTAATACTGGAAAATTGTATTTCTTTTATATATGACGTGGTTAGAAAGTGCCACAGTAATTTATCATGATAATTAAAAAAAAAAAAAAAAAGAAAAAAAAAGGTTTTGAACAATATCTTTCTCTGCCACTCAGGCTGTTTTCTTAATTGTCTCAGATCTACTTTCCCATCCAAGAGATGGTATTTCACTTTGTAGATATGAGTGCTGCTTTCTCTATACCTGGAGCAGAGACCCATGATTTACCTTGGACAGTTGTGCTACATGTGCAGCACACTATATCAAAGGAAAAAGGTATCAAAGGAAAAGTTCATGTTACTGTCCTTTGTTAATGATATTCACGCGTGCACTTGTGCAGAAATTCAAAATGTAAATTCCTATGCATACAGAACTTGTTTCCCCCAAACAAGCACCCTATGTATATACCCAGCAATTCTCTTATTTATCTTTCCTAACAGAATCATTTAATCCATGTTGTATCTAGGAGGAGAACACTTTTTGGAAATTAAATCTGATTTTTGTCCAATTCGGAAATTGAAAACATGCATGTAGCTACATTTTATCTAAGAAGTCATTTTCATGTTGGGATGTTTTATAAAAAGCCTTTTATAAAAAATGATTCAACCTACTCAAAAATGATTCAACTTTATTTGCACAGCTTTTGCATGATGTACAGTTGAGCTTCAAAAGATAATAACCTGTTAGCATCAATAAAATATAAATGACATTGTGAAAAAAAAAGCTCCTTCTGTCACTCGGAAGCAAGCATTCTTTATACTATATACGGGGTGTGATCATAATGAATACATCTCTGCTTAAGTAAATGAGGTCAGCTGGCACAATAATATTTTGTCAGAGCAATAGCACAAATGATTTTATCCAGGAAGTGAGGCATCTGGAAGTAGATGTTTGTGTGCCATTCCCTTGCAACTTTTCCTATTTGTGGATTTTTTATTTTATTTTATTTTATTTTATTTTTTTGCTAATGGTGAGATTTCCTGTTTTGTCATAAAAGGCAGTCCTCTACATTTGTTTGAAACCCTTCTCTTTCCAAAGGTCCAAGGTACTCTGCAGTATGGGGCTGGTTACTTACAGGAATTGCAGGCAGTTTCATAAACAGGGTTGTGACTTATCATAGTTAAGTAAAAGAGATGAGTATGATATGGAACATTCCAATTGTTTATGCCTTTTCAGCTGTTATCACACAGTGCAGGTGGCTCATGTGTGATTATGGCTTCCTTTCAGTTGGAGGCATGATCAAAAGCATGTGAAGCGTCAGGAGTTCTTGGTTACATATTTGTCCCTATGTGCTTGTGACCTGCTTTCCAGCAAAGGCAAAGAGAAGTTGACTTAAAGATGACTTTAAAGCCTGCAGTGAATAAAAGTGAATAATTGGAATGAGGTTGTAAAACCTTGCAGTTTTATGGTCTTGAATTCAATTAATAACTTTTTGATCTATTTGTTCACTAAAAGAACACTGCTGCCACAATCAACACTAATTGCAGTCTAATTTGCAATTTTTTTAGATAATGGTAATTGCTTAAGACCACTGGGACTAGAGACAGAGAATAGATGGTTGCACTTTTATTTTGCGACAGAAATATGTTGCCTAGTTCCAACACATCACTGCTCAGATATCTCTCTGTGCCAGCAGATACAAACTTTCTCTGATTTTTTTCTTTGGCATTGTTCCCATTTTTGTTACCTATGGGATGTATTAAAATAGATGTATGAGATGCTTGGGACTGTGGCTGTTAATGCTGTGCTAATTAGGATTTTGTTTATAGTTTTTCAACCATCATGAAAAAAAAGAAATCTAGGGTCTTTCTTCTAGTGAAAGTCATGTCATTGTGTAATTTGGAATTTATTGTTTTTCTCACTTTCCAGTAACATAGATGTAGAATTTCATTTCCCAGAATGAGTATTTGATCAGATGCTTCAAATCAAATCTAAATATTGCAGAGAGCCCCAGAAGTAGGGGGTGAGGGGTAATGAAAATATGCCATTATCAGTTCCAGATGGTGGGATTTTTTTTTCACCGCCAACCCAAAAAAACAATCATTAACACAGACGTTGAAAAAGATGAACATGCTATTCATCAGCTTTTGCCTTTTGGCACATTTTTCCCTTTTTAGGCAAAAATTAATTCTTGTTTCTAGTTCAATCCGGTGAACATTTTTGTTGTCATGAAAAATTGCACTGTGCATTGGGCAGCATTTGCAGAAAGAGAGAACCCTTTGGACTGCAGCAGTACACAGTCTACTTCACATCACCAAACTGTTCAAGGTGTGAATTAATAGGCACAGAAAGCAGCATTCAGCTCCAGTGTAGATTTTGTAGACCTTAGCAGGTTACGCATTTCAAGCTAGGTAACATAACGTTTCCCATTTACATTTGGCAACTTTGCTGCTTTGCATGTGAGTAAAATTGCTTTAAAAAAGCACAGTACTCACACAACCGACCCTTTTGTATATGGTGCGCACAACATGCAAGATAATAAACTCTTGGTTGTAGAATACATTCATGCAATAGCAAAGGACAAGTCTATGCTTTGCTATGCAGAGAACTAGGACTAAGGGTATAAGATACAATATGCTTTAAGAGACTTTTACATACAGTTCTGTCTAGTTGTCTTAGCAGTTGTCATCAGTTCAGTTATCATCCTATCCATATTGCCTAGGCTTTTTTTTCAAGTAACAGATTAATTAAGCCACATTTCCTGGACTTATTTGTAATGTCAACAGAACAACATTTTTATATATTTTCTGTCTTGTCAAGGGACATGGTCAAATGGTTAGAGAATTCAGATGTAGACACAAATACTCTTAAGGCTCTGACCTGCTCTCTGGTCTTGGAGAATTCTATGTTTAATATCTGTTTATGACTTAGCTTCCTCATCTTTAAAATGGGTATTACAATGCTTGTCTATCACTGGGAAACATTTAGAAATACATATTCAGATTGCTCTATATGAAGATGAATTACTGAATTATCTGTCCAGTCAGTACAGGTTCTGTCAAATCATGTATCTTTTGAAAGATATTTTTTGAAAGCAGACCCGAGCAGTCTCTCAAGATCACCTTTCCAATGCTGAGATCTGTGTCAGGAGCCTTGCAAATCTGGTATTACGAGAAACCTGAAAATTTATAGTTAAGAATTTACATGTGGCTCTTGTTTGTTTTTAAGCCAGTTTCTTTCTATTATCTATCTATTATTAAAAGTGCACACCTCTGAGAAGTCATTCTAATCCTCCAGTTGATGAATGCTCCAATACAGTTCTTGCTGGCTCTTGGCGTCTGGGGCTGTTGAACTGTTGCTTCTGTGAGCAGGCTGAAGCAAGAAGCCATTCATGCACCAGCACTAGTCCTAGTCTCTTGTAAGGGTTAGGGGGTTGTCTTATCATTCCTATACTTACAGAAAGTAAGCAGGAAATTCAAAAGGGAATTGCATTCGTAAACTAGTCAAGTCTTTCCCCCGTTCTTGTAACTGCTCCGAAATAAGATGAAAAACACCCATAAAATAGGAATGTCTGCATTAAACTATCCCCCAGACTGACCATGAAGAAATAGAAGTGTAGATGTGTGTGCCCTCATATGGAAATATTGATATTCCTGTTGTTGCTTACCTGATTTTGTTTTGTTTTTAAAGCTGTTATACCTCTGGCTATTTCCAGGAAAAGGCAGAGATTTAGAAGGACTGAAGAAAATTGAATTTACAGGGTAATTGTGAACTGTGTAGAGAAGTACTTACTTCCCCCATTAAAATTTCCTTTTTTATTGATTACCCTTTTATTTGTGGATGAGATGCAAATGGGAATTTTCAGTCTGTCATCTCCAAAACATTAATTAGTCTGTATTTATAGTACTCATCGTCCGTTTACTTTTTAATCATATTGATTAAATTGTAAAATAAAGTAGCATAAAGTATCAGAGGTAACAGAAAAATGGAATAATTAGGAAATCAATAAACTATTCAGTAGCATATACAAGACATCCAAATGACCTTCCAGAATAACACCTAATAGTCAGAATTTTTGTAGACCAAATCATAAAAGACCATAATGAAGTACAAACTTTGGAAGATAGATTTAATGAAATGTAACTAAACTAAATAGGAAATTATAAAAGAGTCATGTAAAATAAAATGCAGAAAGGAATCACAGAATCACAGAATTTCTAGGTTGGAAGAGACCTCAAGATCATCGAGTCCAACCTCTAACCTAACACAAGCAGTCCCCACTAAACCACATCCCTAAGCTCTTTAAGAACAACTGAGCAGATACTAAGTGAATAGTTAAGTATGTAGTGCCAGTTCTGCACCAAATCCTCTTAAGCAGGTACTAATGAAGCAACTCAAGACAGTAAAATGGGTAGACTAGGTTTCTGTTGTTTTCCTAATTACTAACTCAAAAATAACTTAGTAGTTGATACCGTTTGTGCAGTTGGATTTGTGTTGGGAAGATGCATGGCAGACTTAAGAATGCCTGGCAATGTGCCTGTGAAAGAGAATTAAGGAAGCTGTAGGATATAGTACTGTTTCCATACTGTCCTTCATCAGGACTTTCTGCTTCTCCATTTGAGATACAGAAATGATGATAGGGCTTTTCCCTCGCTGTTCCCTGTCCAGGTGTGGCCTCAACAGTGCTGAGCAAAGGGGGAGGATCACCTCTCGACCTGCTCTCCACACTCCTCCTGATGCAGGCTAGGATCCATTGGCCTTCTTGGCCACAAGGGCATACTGCTGGCTCATGTTTAACTTGCTGTCTGCCATGACCACCAGGTCCCTCTCCACAGAGCTGCTCTCCAGCAGGTCAGCTGCCAACTTGTACTAGTGTCTGGGGTTATTCCTTCCCCTGTGCATGAGCCTGCACTTGCCCTTGTTGGTTCCTCTCCATGAGGTTCCTCTCCACCCAAGTGTCCAGCCTGTATTCCTTTAGATGAGAAAGAAAGCAGTGTCAATGACATTGACCAGCACCTGTTGGAAATCAGACCACTGTATTTTACTAAATTTGAAGATCTGGGTGCTCCTCACTCCAAATTTGGCCCAACTGATTTTGCACATCTGTACTTAAAGGCAGTTCAGTGGAGCATTTGTTCAGAGTAAGCATTCAGAGAGGTGGTATAGCAGCCCAGCGCAAGCATGCGACATACTCTAAACAGTCTCAGATTTTGGTTTGAACAATAACTGCATTTCAGTGGAAAAGAACATAATTAAAATGCTGAACTTGTTAATTACATGAACATACAGGTGCACAGTAATCTTCCAAGCCTGGAGAAATACTCCGAGAAAGACATTTCCTTGTGAAAGTTATTTCTTTGATCCTAAAACAGGTGATTTGCCACCTTCACACATGTGTCAGGTTCAGCAGATAATTTGTTTTTTTTCTGAGTTCTGTTTTCCATGTGGTAGCTCAGTGCTGTCATATCAAATACAGCTGAGCATTATTTGGAAGGTGATTCTGCACCTTAGTTTTAGAACCCAGGGAAAGGGGTTAAAGGACTAAAAATATCTCTGACTTAAAGGGTAACAACTTTAGGGAGGAAATATACTTAGGCTGGAAATACATTCACCAATGCAGCTCAGGAGTGCAAATGCAGCTGCCACATTAAGGCAGTGTATTCTGGGAAGATGTGAAAAATAAGGTTGCATCTACTCATACTTTAGATGCAAAGATGAAACTACTAAATAGTCTAGTCTTCAGAAAATGTTGTTGTGCAGATGTGTTCTAATTCAAATATGCCCATGTAAATCCTTAGCATTAGTAAAGAATGTTATAGTTTGCCTAATAACTTCTTCATTTGTCTGCTGGATAGAAAGAAAGTACTACCCACTCCTTGTAATTGTCCTGCCTGTGAATGTGCTCCAAAGAGGTTTCAGATTACACAACATTCATGGTTAATCAGCTATTATAGTCTGTATATGCTTAGCCAAGAATTGCTGAATTTGTCTTGTATTGATTCTATAGGTAACATCAGAAACACTGAGAAGCTGAACTATGACAAGCAGCATCAGTACGAGATAATGGTAACAGCATTTGACTGTGGGCAAAAACATGCAAGAGATGATGTCTTAGTACGCGTTAATGTAAAACCAGTGTGCAAACCAGGCTGGCAAGGTAAGGTTTTATAGTTTATATATTTTAAAGTTATTTTTCTTTTTTAAGTATTTTTCTTTGCCGTTTTTTTCCCCTCACATACACAGTAAGGAGAAACTATGGTGTATATTGCAATGGTATAGAAAACTGTTGTTATTTCTTTTGTTTACTTTATTCTGAGACTGTTAAAAATGTGTATAACAATCCCATAGTTGGTTAGATTTGCAGTATTTCTTTAGTCAGAACCAAAAGCCAAACACAAAGAAGGCTGAATATACAGAAAGGTTAAAAAATGTTACTGGTTTGCCTTTCTCCTACTGCTCCTTTAAATAAACCTTTTGGAGCCACCATGACAAAGTACTTTTCCTGTCTGGACCAGAAGATTTCAGATTATATTATTCCAATATGGAAATGTCTTCTGTATGCATGCACAAATGTATGAGTCAAGGCATGCTCAGCCAGCAGTAGGTATGAAAGGCATGTTTTATCCAGATTACTGTCTTTGTATTGAGAAATTTCAGTAGGTGTGTGTGTGTGTATGTATATATATATTTATTTATTATTATTATTTTTAAAGGGGTTTTAAGGAGCTGCAGTCTACTGTCTAAAATGGTGAAAACCCAACTAGTGATATACTGAGAAGACAGATACACCACAAATTATAAGGAATTAAGATGAAAAGGAAGGCTGGATTAGAAAAAAAGTAACTTGATATAACCCTTATGAGGGTTTATGATGCAGATGTTATCTGGGACTAACCTGAGCTTCAAAATTGTAATTTTTAAAGAGAACAAATTAGAAGGAAAAAATTCAGTTCGGTTGTTACACATGAAGGCAAATTTGGTGAACAAACACCAAAAAAAATAAAAAGCATTTTCTCTGTAAAATAAGGCACCCCCCTGTCTAAAGGATTTCACACTGGCATAAATCTATAATATAATTTAATTTTCAGAGTCTTCATTTAAAATATTTTAATTTCTCAGGAATGTATCAGCTGCCTCCACCCCCCAAGTATTTTGAAGAGCATTTTTATTTAAAAAAAAAATAAATAATATATATATATGTGTATATATATATATATATATATATATATATATACACAACTTATTTGCATATCTTAAACAGATCTTATTGTTCTAAAACTCATGACTTATGCTATAAAACCAATACAGTATCTTTACACGATGGAAATGTTCTGTTCCTGCTTTATGGAGTCATTGCAAATGAATGAAATATACATTCTAGGTTGGAATTTGCATTAGAATCGGTGCAATTGTTGATTTGTAGTTTCCACATAATTTCCACGTTAATATTTTATTAACTGGATAATTTCTGCAAAGAGACCTCATTAATGATACATTTATACTACCCACTATTGTCATACTTACTTCATAGTTCCAGCATCAAATATAGTATAGATGAATATTGATGGTCCCATCAGTTACATATAGATAACAGGTTGCCAATGAAAGTAATGCAAACAAACTCACATCAGGTTTTTCGTTTTCATTATGCTTTGTTTATTTTCAATTATCTGAAGTCTTTGCAAGCCATTTAAGGCTTTAATGCAAAAGCTGGAATTGATCTACTATTTTATGCATACAAAAATTATACTTTCCTAGAAGTCAGCTGTATGTTGGTTGTTTGTTAGACAAACTTTCAGGTATTTGATATAAGGGGCTGCCAGGTTGTAATTTTTAATATGTGATAGTTGAAAAATAGACTGCTCATCTTGATTGGGTTAAAAAAGTAAAAAAGGGAAACAAACAAACAAACAAACAAAAAAAAAACAGCAAACAGGGAGCAACATCTCTTTAAAGAAACATAAAAATGTAATCCATGATAAAGTTTCAAGCAGCTTGTCTAAAGTTGCTTGAATTTGGGCTTTCATTGTGCTTGAATTTGGACTTTTTACTTCTGTGGCAATTTGGCACAGTTTTTCTTCCTACTGGTCTGGCAAAGTTTTACGATGTCTTAAAGTTTATCGTAGGCAGGGCATAAATATCAAATAGGTTCTGCTCTGGCTTATTCCATGCTTGTTGAATTGTACTTTTCTATCTGTCAGAAAGACGCCTGCTTCATTTCACTGGCATGTTTCCATGTTGAATTACACACAGTGCAAGTGGACAGTACTTGCCTACTCAGGGTATAAGGTCCTTAATTAAACTATTGAGTATATGGCATTAGTTCTTAATCATCACATCATTAATTATAATTTGAAAGATGCAATTAAATACTTGTATACAGAAATGTGTACATTGCTTTTAGAGAATTTTTTATGCCTACTTATTTTTAAAGGTAAAGATAGTTGCATAGCTTGTGGTGTTTTTCACTTTGAACCATCTGTAAAAATTAACTGTCACTAGAAAAATAAATAAATTAAATAAATAAATAAACAAAACCTTTAGTATTTCCAGTACTTAGAGAGTACTTACACTTACAGTGTTCTTACTTCCCTGCATCTGTCACTCTGTGACCTCTCCACAGAGAGACAGCTAGCAGGTATGCCCCATCATCTTTGCAATAATGATATATTTGAAGACTAGATGACTAGGAAAGGTACAATAGTGTTTTGCTTGACAGAAGAGAAATATTCTGAGCCTTTGGCTATAATATAAAACTTGATGAAATATGATTTTTTCTTGTTCTTCAGTGTTAGCTTGAGCAAATAAATACTTGGAAATTCACTTTTATAACAATGGCAGTTCTTAAAAGTTATTGGCTTTAGTAATCTGAAACACTGTGCAGTTCTTCACATGAATATCATGAATAGAGATGGTCTAATAAATTAAATGTTAGAAGTTTCGGTGCCATCACAGACACTCTTTTGATAACCTCTACTGCATAAGGGTGAGACAGCAAAGACTTGGTGTATGCAGAACAACATACAAAATTATTCCTGTTTCTAGATGACAAGTCCATATGACAAGAATGTATAGCAGAGCAAATAAGACTCAATAGGCCTGGGTGCCATCCTTTAAATGATTTTCCCTTTGACAGAGAACAATTCTAATAGCATTCAAGGTGTCATGCTGAACAACTAATGTGAAGGGGGCTGGCTGGGGTGCAAAGACTGGCTGCTTGGGAATAGGTGGGGCATTGGTCAGCAGGTGGTGAGCAATTGCATTGTGTATCACTTGTTTTGTACACACTATTATTAGTAGTACTATTATCATTATTATTTTCCTTTCTTTTCTGTCCTAATAAACTGTCTTTATCTCAACCCACAGGCTTTCATTTTTTTCGGATTCTCTCCCCCATCCTGGAGAGGGGAGGAGGGAGAGCAAAGGGCTGTGTGGTGCTTAGCTGCCAGCCAGATTAAACCACAGCATTCTAGCATCTATTTCCCTAGTCTTGATGAAGATGAACATTAATCTACCATCAACAACCATTCTCACGCAGGCATTGTCAGTAAATTACAAGCTCTTTTAGAAATAAACCTGAACTCACATTGGCCATTCTGAGCAGACTATTCCAAAATGGTGTTGGTGTCCTAAGGAAGCTGAAAATTTCGATTTATCTACCTAATAAACTGACACATTAACTACTCTTGCTAGATGTTTTTATAAAGATATTGCCCATTCCTTTTTAAGGCATGTAGGACTCATTAAGGGGATGTAGGGCTTTGCCACCACCAAAAGGCACATTCCTACCACCTCTTTCATGTTGACTAGTCATTCAGAGACCATGAAAAGTTCACAGCTTGCTTCTCCTGCTGAAGTATAGTCTCCTTTTTTCAGAGAAGGGCTGCTTCTCTTTTAGTAGTGGAGTGATCTTAGATCACTTGTGAATCCACATACTTCATAGATAATATTTTCAGAAGGCACTGTGAGTGATTTTTAAAACAGTATTCATGTGGGCTTTCTAGTAAAACCCAATTACAGAAAAAAAGCAAAACCATCTCTGCTTTTGCTCTTAACAAGGAGAAAGATGATTAATAAAGCAATTGGTTATTGTGAGGGAAAGAGAGGGGTTTGGTCAAGTACAGAAACCATACACGAGAATAATATTCCTAGTCCTTAGGAACAATTTCAAAGACACAAATATTTTCTGTAGTAAATGTAAATTTACTTCCATTCTTGTTGTGCACATACCTAGCAGTTTAAAATGCAACGCTTTTGTCATCTTAATATTTATTAGATATTTGCCCTTTTTTTTGAATAAAAGCTACTGCTTGATGCCACTCTAGTCTTGGAGCTGCTGTGCATTCATTAGCCGTATGTCCTTAAACCTGGGTAATCATAACGAAATGCACATATTGAGCTGTTAACTTGAATCACGCTGTTTAGTGGAATACTCAGTCTTATCTGTTTCAGGCATTTGAAAATTAACTGAATTAGTGAGTATGTCTAGTTTGGGGGCTCAAAATTTACGTAGGTTTATACTCATTTGCAGTACTTCTTTCATATTGTTCTTCTTGCTCTGTTTGCTTACCAGACATACATAGAGAAAGCCATCATATCTATTTCAATCTCACTTTGAAAATGGAAATATCTTTTCTTAGCTAATTCTATATACGGATTACAGCTAAATATATCTTCCATGAACATTCCAGATAGGGATTTTCATGTTTATTTTACCATGACCTTTTCCTAGAAAAACAGTGTGGTATATAATCAGATTTTTATTTTTTTTTTTCCTGGCTATATCAGATTGGTGTTTTATGGGCATGCTGTTAACTTGGTGGAATCAGCTCTTTTCCCATGTCTCATTCTTTAGTGGTGACATCAGTTCACTGAAGAAGCTCATGAGAATGAACTGGCACTTTGTGTCAGCTCCTGGGCCCATGGGTGCTAGTGGAAAACCCGGGTGAGTCTTAATGTACACTCATCAGGGCTTATTAGTAGACTTTGGGCCCTGATACCTGGGTTGTTGCAGCAGATACTTATTATTATTCAAATGAAATGTCACACCAAATAATTGTTTAAACTTTTTGCTGTTTTTTCCTGTATTTACTTTCTCATATGATTATTTGGCTATGCCAAGTCCCCACCGTTAGGACTTTTTGTTTTATCACTCAA